GGGGTTGGTTTTGTTTGGGGTTTTGTTTTTTTTTTTGGTTTCTTTTTATTCTTATTTTTCTCCTCCGTCTCGCTCTTGCTCCAGCCGAGGTGAATGGCCCGCGGTGGGTGTAGCTGGCCTCACCGCCTCTGCACGGGGAAAATGCTGGCCGTGGGGGTGCTGGCCGGCCTCTCGGTGCTTAGCCTCCTCACTTACGGCTACCTGTCCTGGGACAGCCTCGGACTCGGCCCCGGAGAGACGGAGGCGACGAGGACCGGGCTGGGAGAGGAGCCGGGGGCCGGCGCCCCCAGCTCGCAGCCTCACATCATCTTCATCCTGGCTGACGATCAGGGATTCAGAGACGTAGGGTACCACGGATCGGAGATCAGGACGCCCACTCTGGACAAGCTAGCCGCTGAAGGGGTTAAACTGGAGAACTATTATGTTCAGCCTATGTGCACACCATCCAGAAGCCAATTTATCACTGGCAAGTAAGTTTACTGCTTCATCATTCACCTCACCAGCTTAAACGCTGTCCCTGTTGAAAAGAGCACGGGGCGAACCTGGCTAGGTACACCTCTGTCTTGTCCTGCAGGCACAGAGGTGCCTTTCCGATTCGCTTAAAAACCTTGAACAAAACGGACTTTCTAAGATGTTTGAAATAGCGAAATCAAAACTCACGCTCTGTGAGCCAATAAGGATTCAGCACTGTGAGCTGCCCCTGCAGAGTGCTATAGTGCGTTTACATTTACGGCACTACAAACATACGTGCTAGTTGTCAAGTAACGCTGCTATTACTGGGAAGCGATCAGCTTAGATTTTTCTGTGCGATTTCAGAGTGACTTACGGGAGGAGTCCGCGTTAGGGAACTGAAAGCGTTACGTCTTCTCCAGTGCATTCGTTGCAGCCGGCACGTTGGATCACGGGTCTTGCTGAACCTTGACTTAAGGCGAGTTCCCTCGGGGTTATATTGAATTTACGGGATGATTCCCCAGTGTGTCGCATGTGGCTGAGTGCGGGGAATCCAGGCTCTCTTTCAGGATCCTCCGAGCTGCAGTATCGCCCTCGTCGTGATGCGATTGCCGCTTTGCAAATGATTAGAAACTTTTCTCTTAAGCCGCTAAAATAGGTGCCGCACCAAAACGGCAAAAGCCGTGGGTTGGTGGTGTGTGCTTTGCCGTCTCTGGTAAATTGTGTTTTGTTGTGGTCTATTAAGTAAATAACCAATTGCCCAACCTAAGGGCCTTCTTACGTGTGAAGGTTAATAAGGATTAAGGGCAGGGGGGTATGCATTTGAACCGTAGGAACGGTTCCCAAATAACTCCCGAGTGTGGACACATTTACTCTGGAACAAAAATGCCTTGTTTCTGTTTAGCTTAACTCACTTTGACAGGAACGGGGAACTCTTAAAAGAGCAAAACAAAATGAGAGGAAAAAAGTTACATAGTTTATTTTCCCCTTTCCTTAAGTATAAACAGGAACAAGGCAATGTTAATATTGCTGGTGAAAGACGCACATGTTTAAATAAGCAGCTGGCCTGGTGTCTTGCATCTCCATATGGTAGAGCTGGAGATAATTCCTGGCCTCGGTCTAGTTCCCAGACTTGCTGGACCAGGGAGATTTGCCTGGAGAGCTGACACGTTATCTAGAGCAAGACTTCCCCACGCGTTTTTTTGGTTTGTTGGGTTTTTTTCCTTCTTCTTTACGTGGACTGTGTCTTAGAAGAGAAGTTACTTTGAGACACCTACTCACTCATTCGCGAGAACTTAGTTGCCCTGCGGCAACTAAACAGCTTGCAGGGAAAAATGTGTATCGGGATAGTGTGTAATGCGTCTCGGTTGTCTTTAAAGCTGTGCAGCAGTTGAAGCGAGGACCTGCGCCAGCAGCACGTAGCCAGCCAGCTTTCTGAGGACGGTGGTTTGGGAACCAGTGCTTTACAAAGGGAATGTCGTGCTGCACAACAATGACTCACGCAGCGGCTGGAGGAATGGGACGACCGGGTTCCAGGGGAACCAGGGTGCTGCGTCGGCTCTTGGAGACTGCAGAGGTTGTCTAAACAGAAAAAGAATAAACGGAAAGTAAGGAATAACAGTAACTCAGTTTAACCACTTTAATCCTTCTTTAAATATGGAGCAGTTTGTGTGTAAGTATACACTAATAGTAAAAGGTAGGCGTGTCCTCAGGAGCCCTGCTCTTTTCATCGGCTCGTCAGGCGGAAATGGTTCTGCAAATCTGCCCGCTTTGGTTTTGGAACCTTTTCTAGGAAAAAAGAAATTTGCTTATACTTCGTTTTTATTTTCTTCGTCTGCTGGTCTAAAACCCTTAGGACATTTTTTTCGTGTTGTTCTACTTTGGGAAAAAGGAGCAGCGGAGAGAAAGAACTGCCTCGCATGACTGAGAAATAAAGGAGGGAATGGTGAGGGATTAGTAGGTTTGGGTAAAGTATTAACAAGGTAGATTCAGAGGACGCTATTATCCCTCTAGATGAAGATAAATGCTAGTAGAAATAAAGGAGGGAATGGTGAGGGATTAGTAGGTTTGGGTAAAGTATTAACAAGGTAGATTCGAGGACGCTAGTAGAGTATTAACAAGGCAGATTCAGAGGACACTATTATCCCTTCTGGATGAAGATAAATGCTAGCGATAACTACTTTAATGCTTTCTTAGTAGAGTTACCTTAATTAAAATGCCAGGACTCAGCAACTTCTAATCCAGAAGAAGCGCTCTTATTTCTCGAATTCCCAAATGTGTTAGTTCAGGGCTAAAAGCCTGCTCGTCCACCGAAGGATCACCTGGATGCTCCGTGCCTCCCAATACACGCCCCATGCTTAACACGTTCCAAATGTGACCTGACTGATCTATGAAAACCAGAGGGACTTGTGTAAACCGGACTCATTAGGGAGCGCTGACTCACGTTGCCGAGTGGAAGTTAGGCTTCAGGCAAAGAGACTTCGAATGCTCCAAATTCTCCACAGGTCTCCAGGCAGTCCCTCTAAGGCTTGTGTTAGTAAAAAGACCCTTCTTTTGGTAGCTGTCCTATGCTGGTGAATGAGCACGGGGAAGGAGGTTGGAGGTGGCACGTTGAAAGGAAGGGGTAGAATTAGCTCATTTTTCCCCTTCGTGCCGTACCGCAGCGTAACAGCTGGTGAGCCTGTCTTTCTGACCACCACTTCTTCCCTCTGTTTGCTTTCTCGTGTCCTGTGCTTGAGGCTTTGGCCTACTTCCATTTCTTGCCTTCCACCAGCATTGCCTCTTTCCCCATTCACTCCATCCAAAGCTACTGCTTTGAGGCCAATAGCGAGGCTGGCTTCCCCGGCCTTTAATTTGGGGCTTTATTTATGGGTGCGGGGAGGGGGTTGCAGCTGAGCTCGATCTTGGGAACAAGAGAAGAAAAGTGTGAGCCACTGGGCCGAGTGCCACACGCGATGTGCTCTCCCGGCCGGCTGCGCTGGGGCCAACGCGGGGAGGTGAGGGAGGCGGCTCTCGGGAAGCGGCTCAGCCCGTGCTCCGCAGCTGCACAACTGCGATGGCAGAAGCGACCTGGGCGAGAAGAGAGTTTGCTCTGGCTTGTGCTGCTGCTCCTGGGACCGCTGCAGTTCCTGCCTGAGCTCCTGCAGCTGGGTTGAAAATTTGATGCATCGGTGGTTTTTGGAGACTCGTGCCTATTGTTGCTTTGCGCTGGTTTGAGCGGGGCACTGGCCTGCATATACTCAAGAGGTTATTGACCTGCTGATAAATTGTAGAAAGACTGTAGGCATGTTTGGCTTTTTCTTCTTCTTTTTTGTTTCCTCCCAAAGGATGTGAGTGAACGTAAGTTGTCCTCCAGACCAACCATGTTGTGTGATACAGTATTTTTCTGTTGTTTTCTCCTTGAAAGTAACAGGCATGCCTCCATAAACTTAATAACTTAAACAGAGTAGCTCCGGATACCTAGCTTTAAACTAGTGCTGAGGTGAAAACTATCTTATACAGGCGCTGAGTTAGGTGAGAAGTTTGCACATGTGCATACGTCAGCCACGCTGGAGTATCCTGAAGATAGAGACACGACCTGGGGGTGCTGGTCGACAGCCGGCTGAACATGAGCCGGCAGTGTGCCCAGGCGGCCAAGAAGGCCAATGGCATCCTGGCCTGTATCAGAAATAGTGTGGCCAGCAGGAGTAGGGAAGTGATCGTGCCCCTGTACTCGGCACTGGTGAGGCCGCACCTCGACTACTGTGTTCAGTTTTGGGCCCCTCACTACAAGAAGGACGTTGAGGTGCTGGAGCGTGTCCAGAGAAGGGCAACGAGGCTGGTGAGGGGTCTGGAGCACAAGTCTTATGAGGAGCGGCTGAGGGAACTGAGGCTGTTTAGCCTGGAGAAGAGGAGGCTGAGGGGAGACCTCATCGCTCTCTACAACTACCTGAAAGGAGGTTGTAGCGAGGTGGGTGTTGGTCTTTTCTCCGAAGTAACAAGTGATAGGACGAGAGGAAATGGCCTCAAGTTGCGCCAGGGGAGGTTTAGATTGGATGGAAGGAAAAATTTCTGTACTGAAAGAGTGGTTAAACATTGGAAGAGGCTGCCCAGGGAAGTGGTGGAGTCCCCATCCCTGGAGGTATTTAAAAGACGTGTAGATGAGGCGCTTAGGGACATGGTTTAGTGGGCATGGTGGTGTTGGGTTGACGGTTGGACTCGGTGATCTTAGAGGTCTTTTCCAACCTCAATGATTCTATGATTCTATTCTATGAATGCGGTACAGAATGCAGCTAAACTAAAAGACTACTTTTTAACTCATCCGTGAAAGAAATGAAAAATAAATGTTGTTTATGCTATTGTAATTTACGTGGAAGAACGTTAAAAAAAAAGCGGCTCAGACTTCAAGTCTTCAAGTTCTCCCCCCTAGGAAAAGGGGTTAAGAACGCGCAAGATACTCGGCCTGCGCCCCGCAGCCGGCTGGCCGAGCACTCATTGAGTTAGCTGCTGTATCTGCGTGCTTAATAGCCTTGGTGATTTTTCATTGCATCAATAATCTTGTAGACCAGTTTGGTAGTACGGTTTAAGATCTTGATTTACGGAACAATACAGGTCACGTAACGTACTAAGAAAATCTAAGATTAGTTGTGTGTGAAGTTTTCTGCACGTGCGTGTATGAGAGTGGGTTGAGGTGAGGTAGAGAGTATAAGACTGGTTTGTTATGGTCGTGTGGTATTGCTCGTTTAGATAATTTGGTAAGTTACGTTATCGTGAAGAGTCATCTCCTTTTTAAGTGAAGAACTCTATTGGAGCATAATCGGCGTGTGGACGGTTTCCCAGAGTTTTTTAAGAACTTTTGAAAGATTATGACCAAAAGGAGGCATATTCCTCTGAGCTGGCGAGACAAAAAGACTCTAAGCTTAGATGAACATCTGTTGGGGTAGCTGACCCAGTTCTACAGAGGGTATTACGCAGTGTAGTTGTATTTGCTGCAGTGATACTTAATTCAGCAAGGGAATTTGAGAAATAAGACAGACTGATA